CCCGGAGCGGGCCCCAGGGGGACATCCCGTCCTGCCTCCTTGCTCGAGCACACGGCGTGGGTTTGCATCCAGGCGGTTCTTGGAGATCTCCAGTGAAGGAGAGTCCACAACCTCTCTGGGCAAGCTGTTCAGTGCTCGGTCACCCGCACAGCAAAGTTGTTCTTCCTCATGTTTAGGTGGAACTTCCTGTGCATCAGTTTTTTCCCTGTGACTGCTCACCTGTTGTTTGCACCACTGAGAAGAGCCGGGCTCCATCCTCTTGGCACTATCCCTTCAGATTCTTGCATACATTACCATGGTCAGCTCTGAGTCACTTTTTCTTCAGGCTGAACACGCCCAGCTCTCTCAGCCTTTCCACATAACTGAGGTGCTCCAGTTGCCTTATTATCTTAGTAGGCCTCCACTGGACTTGCTCCAGGAACTCTGTCTCTCCTGTCCAGAGGAGCCTAGAACTGGACCCAGCACTCCAGATGAGGCCTCACCAGGGCTGAGTAGAGGGGCAGAATCAGCTCCCTCGACCTCATGGCAATGCTCTTCCCAATGCATCCCAAGATACCATTGGCCTTCCAGGCCACAGGGGCACACTGCTGGCTCATGGACAGCTAGTTGACCCCCAGGACACCCAGGTCCTTCTCTGCAGAGCTGCTTTCCGGCAGATCAGCCCCAAGCTTGGTTCAGATACACCAGGAGCATTGAAGGCACCAGCCCCCGTTTGATTAACAATCCTGGTGCAGGTGCATGCACTGTCTTTTATCTGTAATCAAATAAAGATAACCAACAAGTTTGCTGGCTTTCTCTGTTCTCCATTAGGGACCGTGAGGGGGCACATCCATGTATAAGACATAGCTATTGCTAATTTTAACAGTGTTGTGCATTCCTCAGGTTTTTGTGGGCCATAGGTTTAGCAAATAGGTCACGCATCTTCCATTTCTCCGTGTCAGAAGGTATAAATTTAACAGCATTGTGGGAGGCACAGAGGAGAGATTGGCCTGATGCGTGCTGATATGCCCCAAAACCCAGGTGGGGTTCTCTGCTCTCAAAATAAGGTCCAATAGCCCTGGTTTGAGTATTGTTATGGTAATGTATGCTGGGCTTCATCATGTTTGTATGTTTATTGGCTAGTATGGCAGTAAATACACTTAGTATTTATCCTTGACTCTTCATCTACTTGTGTAGGTTAAAATAGTTAATACTGATAATATTTTATGACATTCCACTCTAAATAGTTGGCTTCTACCTTAGTCATTTTAATAACAAGTATGTGAAAGTCTGCTTTAAAAAACTGTAAAAATAACTTTTAAAAATTATAAAATAACTTATTTAATCTATTGATTCAGCTTGTCTTTGGAGATACAACTGCATTTATTCCAACAGAAATACCTATAGCTACATGACTGTGCATATAATAAGTTCAAAAGCAAAGTATTAAAATCTCTATTTGTGGGAGAAATGGGATTTTTTTTTTTTACATGGGTTGTGGTTGAAATAACTCATGTTGTCCTGCACTATAAAATCTTCTGCCAGCTCTGTGTCAGCAGTGGCACCAAAGTGAAACTTTTGAGTTTAGCAAGCCAGCAAGGTTAGGTATCTTTTAGTAAATAACGGTGACTGACAAGAATCAGCTGTGGAGTTCCTGTTCCCTTAACTGGAAGATGGTAAATCTCCATCATTCATTATAGGGTCTAAGTATATAGTCAGTTGATTTCTAGACTTTTAGGTCCAATACATGGTTAAATTTCTCTTTTTGCATTCTTGTTTCAGCCACTCAGGTTATCCTCTTGTATGATACATCCTATTTTAAAGGAAAAATCTGATCAGCTTCTCAAAGCTGTATCTGTTAGAACCCTGCCTGATGGTAGTTTTCCTGTCTTGGGACTGCACAGCTTTACCTAGTTCTGTTATTAAGGAATTGATTATGGAAAATTAGAAGATTTTCACTGCAAGAAGGCTACGGGGTAAAAGAGGAAAAACTCAGAAAGGCATTGAGAATGTGCAGTTTGGCATTGCAGAGTATATAAAAAGAAGGGTGTAAGTTGTTTTAAAATTGAGACAAGAAATACTGAAATTTCAGTTACATGTCAGTGAGATGTTGGGTATTGGAAAAGAAAAATGTGATGAAACCTTTGTCATGGTTCTTTCAGCAGTTCTGCTTTTCATCAGCTCACATAGCACTGTTCAGTATTTTTTCTTTTGAACAAAATTACCTAAAATAAATACTGGGGTTTTGGGCTTCATTTGGTTTCTTTAAAGTTTATATTCAAATACTAGAACTTTGCTATAAGTATTAACTGTCATTTTATTTCTGCTGAACTGAATTTCTGCAATGAAATCTACTTTGTAAATATAACTGTAAAACCTGCATATTTTATTGTGGTGGCAGCTCAAATGAGCATAGCAAACTAAAATCTGGGTACAGTTGAAGTGTTTTATGCCAAGATATTTGAAGACAAGACATACAATATCAAAAACCAGTAAAGTGTTGATGGGTACCAGGAAGTTGTATTTAATTATTACCTTAGATGGCTGCAATTGAAATAATCTAGTCTCTTCCCAAATACTGGAGGTCTCAGTGCAAGCAAAACCATTTGCTTCAGACTAATTTGGATGACGGACAAAAGAATTTAAGACTTTAGAGGAGAATTGGGGAAAATGGCTTTCACGAGAAAATAAGGAAGAGGATGCATTGAACAGCACTGCAACTTGCTCATTCCTGATACGGTAGCAAGGGGTGCACAATCACATCAAAACAGCAGGAGAAGAAAATCATTGGCATTTCAATATTACGTGGAATATGAGTTTTAAAGCATAATGGCTACGTGAGAAGGAGGTTCCTATATAGTACAATGTACAAAATTCAGAGAAATTTTCCTCAGAGAAAGGAATTGCAAATTCATACAATGATACCAGTTACCCTGCAAAGCAATGTGGAAACAGACATGAAGTTAAGTTTTGTGATCTCAAAATATAAACTTGTAAAGAGAGGCATAACTTCAGTATGATTTGCATACCCCTTAGAGTAAATTTACTTCCTCCTTTTCTGTTATCTGTATTAACTATTCCTATATTAAACTATTTCTATTTTCTTATCTGTACTTGCATTGACAGTTTCTCCTGACAACTAGACTTTATTTTTCTTTGAAGAATGTAGACAATTCACATGCCATTTAAGAGAAGAAAGATCTTACTTCAGCCAGTGCACCTGCTTTTTAACACTGCTGCTTTTTAGGACTTATGTGCTCAATATGCTGTTACAATGTGAAACTTAGTAAAACTGACAATATTAGAATAAGGGTATGGCTTACTGTAAAGATTTAAATATCATACATTATTTAGCAAGTTGCCTTGTATTTGAGAAGATGGTGACAGTAAGGGAAAATTTTGTTCTGCTTGAGTTTTGTTCACTGTGAAGGTGAACAAAGAAACATTTCTGTTCGAGAAACTGTCTAATGTGAATCTGGCCAGTAACCTTTCTATTCCTCCAGAATAATTTACACAGACAAATGGACAGTCACATGGACTGTTTTTCCTCTTTTAGAGTTAAGTGTTTCATAAAAAAATCCCAGAAGCCTGAAAAATGATCTAAGTTCCTTTTCTTCTGTTTCACCAACACAAAAATGAAACTTAAACCTAGGAGGTTTTAAGTCTATTTTTTTAAGGGCAG